CTAATTTTTTGTAGTTTTAGTAGAGACGGGGTTTCACCATGTTGACCAGGATGGTCTCGATCTCTTGACCTCGTGATCCACCTGCCTCGGCCTCCCAAAGTGCTGAGATTACAGGCTTGAGCCACCGCGCCCGGCAATTTTTGTATTTTTAGTAGAGACAGTGTTTCACCATGTTGGCCAGGCTGGTCTAGAACTCCCGACCTCAGATGATCTGCCCGCTTCGGCCTCCCAGAGTGCTGAGATTACTAGTTTTGTTTTTAAATAAGAAACAGTATTAAAAGTCATATTAAGAGGTATTATGCTCACTCCCTGGGTAATGGGATCATACTTCAGTGTCATGCAATATACCTATGTAACAAATCTGTACACAGACTCCCAAATCTAAAATAAAAGTTGAAATTATTTTAAAAATCTACTAGCTGTTCATAATAGGGCAGTAGTTACATTAATACCATGTCCATAGAATAGAATACTACACAACCAGTAAAGATTGAGGCATTGATTCATTGAGAGAGAGATTTTTAAGTGGAAAAGCATAGGTTACTCAAGGGAGTTAAGATTATTCTAGCTGATGGAATCATAGAGTTTTAAATAAATGGTTTGGCTTTAAAGCATTTTTTCAGTCTCTAATCTTTAATGATGAGGTATTGCTTTTTAATTAAATTTTGGGGAAAGGAGCATGTATTCTATAGTCATCTGGCTTTGCACCTTCGCTTCATGGCCTTGGCATGGCCTTGGTCTTAGGGCCTCAGTTCTTTCATGCATAACATGTAACAGTACCTACACTTCCTACTTTGTACACAAATTCTTGAGTATTCATTCTGTGCTTCAGATAAAAAAATTGGTAGATCTGTGTTAAGTCCAGGGGGATGGTCAGCACAAACCGATCGTTGCTGGAATGCGTGTTAGACACATGTCAGGGCGCCATGAGGATACAAAGGGAGGCAGCATTTATCTCACTTAGGAGTGAGGGGGGGTAGAGAGCAAGCAAGGATTCCAACAGAAAAAGACTGAGCTTCAAGAGTAAGGGTGGAGCAAAGAAGAGGGATTGGGGATTCTCCTGTCAGAGGATACCACAGAAGTGGGCACCTCAGGCTGGGTGGAGAATTGGAGAGAATTTGGCATTAGTAGCATAGCAAGTTCAGCGTAGACCGTGGCTGTCTTGGAAATGCAGGTGATAGTGCTTCTCCTAGCCATTTAGAGAATTCAGGTGGACACCTGCTTGGTTTAGAGAAGATTAAGTTTTGAATACCCTGAGGACCATGACCACTGGAAGTTGGCTGCATGAGCCTTAAGCTCAGTGCCTGACCCGTGCATTTGGAAGTCATAGTCTTGCCCCAGGAGTGAGAATTCTCCCAGCTGAGCCAACAGTCCATGAGGCTGTTAGACTTGAAATGTAGCTGGAAGAAATAAGGTAGGAATTTTGATTACTTGGTAATTGAAAGGTACTAGGTACACATTCTTTAAGACTTAAAAAACTAACGCTCAGTTTTCTTTTGCTCGGTGTTCGCATGAGCAGGCTGTAAGAGATGCACGGCTCCGCTCATTCAGCTTTTTGAAATCAGCTTTCACGGAACTTTAACTTCCTGGCTTCCAAGCAAACTTGCAAAATGTAGAATGGTGGCGAGCATTGTTCCCGGTTGTTCTTGGGGCTATTTATTTTTTAAATTGAGTTAAAAAAATGAAGCGTGAGTGCCAAGAGAAAACAACTGGCTCCATTCTTCCCCAGACTCTGCGTGGGTGGGTTTCTGAATCCCTCTTTGTTTCCTTTCTGGCAGTGCATTAAAGGAGTTTGAACAGGTGCCGGGACACTTGGCTGATGAGCTCCACCTGTTCTCTCTTGAGGACCTGGTCAGGATCAAGAAAGGGCTTCTGGCGCCCTTGCTCAAGGACATTCTGAAAGCTTGCCTCGCACACGTGGCCGGCTGTGAGGTGAGGGTGTGCCCGGAGCAGGTGCATTCCTGATGCACCAAGGCCTGGGCTGGGTGTTCTGAACTTGACTTCATTTAACTCTCACAAGCCCTGAGGAAAGTGCCCATGACCTAGTTAGAGATGAGAAAACTGAGGTCAAAGCTGTGAAGTAACAGCTGAGATGCTCCTGCTGGTAAGTGGCAGTGCTGGGATGCGAGCCTGGACCAAGGGACTTTTCATCTGGGTGCCCAGTTCTGCTCAGGGCCCATGCTGCCCTGGAGTGCCAAATACAGCCATGTGGAACCAGGAGTCAATGGAACAGGAAGCTGTGTGTCTACATGGATTGAAAATTGTAGTGCAGCAATGAGAAATGAAATTAGATCATTTCAGAGTGCATGTTTGCAATTGTGACCTTTCTCTGGTACTTTAAAACTGCTTTGATGTGGAATTGGATGAATGTACATTTTTTTCTTTTTCTTGGTTCTGATTCATTCATTGCTGCAAAACAACAACTTCCATTTCTTTCTAGAGGCCGGAATCTTAGACATTCAAAAACTGTTGTTTATAAAGTTCTGTAATAACGAAAAATCAGGAGAATGTTGTGACTTTTTGATGTCCTCTTTTACAGCTGTGTCAAGGAAAGGGCTTTATTTGTGAATTTTGCCGGAATACGACTGTCATCTTCCCATTTCAGACGGAAACATGTAGAAGATGTTCAGGTATCTTAATAACCTAATAACAGAAGCGTAATAATAGCTTAACTAATTATCTAAACTAAGTTTGGTAACTTAAGCACAGGCCAGGCGCCATGGCTCACGTCTGTAATCTCAGCACTTTGGGAGACCAAGGCGGGTGGATCACAAAGTCAGGAGATCGAGACCATCTTGGCCAACATAGTGAAATCCTGTCTCTACTAAAAATACAAAAATTAGCTGGGCATGGTGGTGGGCATCTGTAGTCCCAGCTACTTGGGAGGCTGAGGCAGGAGAATCACTTGAACCCCGGAGGTGGAGGTTGCAGTGAGCCAAGATCGCGCCACTGCATTCCAGCCTGGTGACAGAGCAAGACTCTGTCTAAAAAAAAAAGAAAAGAAAGAAGAAAAAGAAGAAATAAAACTTAAGCACAAAATTAAGTTAAGCTGAATAATTTAAGCACTGTTACTTAAAGTACAGTCGTGCTGGTGTGTGCTTGTAGGATGGATTGGAGATAATGACGTTTTGGGCACAGAAGGAGGAGTATTTGTGTAGGGCAGGGTTAAAGGATGATGTCTCCTGGTGCAGGGTTTGGATAGTGGAGATGGTCCCTTTGTTGCCTATGCCCACCTCTCTGTCTTGTAACTGGATCAGTCTTGCCCAGTGGTGAAGACCCTGGCTGCTTTTGTGTCACAGAGGCAGAGATGAGTAGCTATTGTAGAGAACACATGGCCCACAAGGCCTAAAACATTTGCTATCAGGCTCTTTACAGAAAAGGTTGCCAACCCTCCTTCTACAGTATTAGTGCCTGAGAGAATCCCGTGTTCTGTAAACTCTGTTTCATGGGAGAGATCCTGGTAACAAACTCTACCTTCGCCCTTGATAGGAGGTTGTCCTCCTCTCAGGCCACTCCAGTATTTTCTATGCTAACCCTTTAGACAGTGTTGCAGGGCAGCCTCCCCAGCAAAGAGACTCTGAGGCAGAGATTTGCATGCAAATAGTTTCATGTTCCTCAACTCAATACACATGGGGTGTGCAGGCAGCAGGACTGGGAGAGGGAGAAGTTGAATTGTACAGTGGTTGCAATGGAGCCCTCAGCTCATTTCATGGGGAGCTCTGGAGTTTGGTGGCCTTTCAGCATTGTTCCAAACTGGGGACAAATTGGGGCTAGCCTACTCACTATGTAGTGACCAGTCATTAGACGCAGGCTGGTGCCAGGAAGAGGGTATGAGCTTGGATGAGGCAGCTCTCTCAATGTAGGGCCATTTCTAGAGAAACAGTATGACTTCCCTAGAGTTAGCCAGCAGCTCTCTTGGCAGCTGGGGCAGTGCCTGCCTCGGTGCTTGGGCAGATCCAGGAGGCATTGTGGCGTCCATTACATCAGGCTCTCTGAGCCTTCTGCTCATGACCTGTTGGGAGAGTAGTAATGCTTGTGAGTTTCAGCCTGGCTGATTTCTTTTTAGAAGATTCTGGGTTCTGGATTCAGATCCCCTCCCTCCTTAGGATGTAGATGAGTGTCTGCAGAAATGTGAGTAAACAAGATAGCCTGTTTGCTGACGGCTGTCTTCCTTGCTTGCAGTGTGCAGGGCTTGCTTTCACAAACAGTGCTTCCGGTCCTCCGAGTGCCCCCGCTGTGCGAGGATCACAGCTAGGAGGAAACTTCTGGAAAGTGTGCCCTCTGCAGCAACATGATGCCCCTGAGTATTGTGAAAAAGACTGTTCAACATGCCTTATGATTACCCCAATTTGAGTCTATTATTGGTGACATTGTTTTAGATACCAGGTATTGTATATTAAGGAAAAAGATGGTCAATATTCTCTTTATTGTATATACTTAATATTTCAAAAGAATGCAGATTCTCGATTAGGCACGGGATCAATAGTGGTTTTGTTTACAAATGTCCTGTGTTTTGGCTGCTATTGGTTTTTCTAAGAGTTTTTTATACTTTTGTATTTGAATAGTTATGTTGAACTGATGTTGAGCCATTTTGTGTGTGGGGTGTGTGTGTGTGTGTGTGTGTGTGTGAATTGTAACTGACAAGATGAATTACTCAATTTCTCTTCCTCTAAAACTTGTTTGATGAAACTGATTGGTACTTTCAGTGAACAAAAATATGACCCCAAATCTGTTTTCCCTGGCTTTTATTTCATTAGAGACAGACCTCCATTTGAATGCCATTTTGTGATTGTGTCAATCTTACACATTTTATTTACACCAGAGTTTGAATAAAGAGTACACATTTCTTCTGCAGATTTATTTTGTGATGAGTTTGAGTTGCTTAGCAGGGCATGTAGGTCCAGTTGAAGTGCAGTTTGAAGCAGTTGCCTCTAGATGGCACTCTTTCAGATGGCACAAATAGAACCTGTATTTGTTGTCTCTGTTCCACCCACTGCAGTGTCAAGGGGGAAGTGAGTAGAACTCCATCCCTGCCTTTGAGGATCTTGCTTATACATGTAAAAATGAACATAAGGTATTTACAGCTTTAAACAGACCGGGGAAAATACTCTTAATGAACAGTGTGATTCTAGTGACAACATTAAAACCATACACATTGACTAATAAGTTTAAATGAATCACAAAACCTTTATGAATTTCTTTTTCCTAATAGTTCTTATATGTTTTCCTGAAACACGTGAGCCTATTTTTTTCTTCTACTTTCTATATACTTGCTCCTACTTGAGAAAGGGACCTTAAGGCTGGGTCCCTTCATGTTATATCTTTAGACTGAACGGTTTTCAATCTAGGGTTTGGGTATAACATTCCCTGAGGTTCACATGCCCTAACTAAACCGACCTTGATTTTCTCAGACAGCACAGGCAGGCAACAGCGACACAGGGACAACAGGACAGGGTGTCCCCAACCCCATCCAGCCGTGTGTATGTGTGTTTTATTCAGTGGGATAGTGTTGAGCACATGAAAGAAATGAATGACTTCCGTCAGTCTCTTTTCGTTCAGTCTTCTCATTCTGTCCATTGTTTTCCCATCCTCGATGTCTCTGCCAGAACTGTGCTCACATTCATTATTTAAGTCAGACCTTTTTTAAGTAATATAGACGTATAGGCACATAGGATAAATAGAACTAGATTCCAAACAATGTTTCAGTCTTGCCCATTGCTCATATTCTCTGTTAGGAATCAAGGGTGAGGGTGGTATGTTCACATACCTTTCTGAGGTAAACATCTGTATCTCCATTTACAGGTAAGGAAATTGAGGCCTAGAGAAGAGAAATAACTTTTCTAGATTCCCACAGAAAGTGCATGATGGAGCTGGGGTTGGCATTCAAGTCCACCTGCCTCCAAAGCCCATGCCCAGCCCCTGCTTCTTTTGTGATGTCTTTTTGAGACAAAGGAGTAAAAATGACTTTAACTGGTAAGTGTTGCTTGAATCTGCAGAAGCAGCACTGGGCTGTTTTCTCACATCAGTGTTGATTTAAGGCAACTGCTGTGGCTCAGGCATTGCCTGAAGGGCTCTGTGCTCAGGGTGTCTATGTTTGTAAGGCACTGGTGAGCATGAGTGTGTGTGTATGTGTGTTACGTATCTTTGTTATTAAAGAAGAGTGCACAGCAGTTGCCAGGAAGTGATGCTTTTGATTTTTTATTTTGAGGAAGAATGAGGTTATTTAAACAACGGCAGTATGGGATTTGTCTGAGACTTTGTTCCTCTCCAATGTGATAATAGAGGCTTCTTCCCAGGAAGGCGCCTGTTATGGAAGTGATCTTCAGCACACGTATAGCACCCCATAGGGAAGTCATTAGTTGTGGCATATACAGCTCTTTAGTGGCTTTTCTTGATTGTATGGGTTTTCTGTTCAACTCTTCCTTGGCTGCCAGCAGGAAGGTGAATGCTTGGTCAGACTGTCACCCACTGCGAGGCATCAGTTGCAGTGCTGTAAAGGTCAGTGATTCATTTTCTGCCCCTACACTCTTCGCATGGACAATTCCAGTAATGTGTCATTTACAGTCATGATTCTCAACTGCAGGGAGGAAGTTGCACCATCTCAAGGCAGAGCCTATAGGATGAGGAGGGGCAAGCTAGCAAGCTAGCAGGCTGTCCCAAAGACGTTCTGTCGTGTTGACCTGGGTGAGAATTATTGGCCATGACTTCAGATTAGATCCCAGATACACCACTTTCTGCCTACCGGTGACTCTGGCTGCTCTAGTTTGGTTTGTTTGACTCCTCCAAACCTCATGCTGAAATCTGAGCCCCAGTGCTGAAGCTGGGCCTAAGAAGAGGTGTTTGGGTCAGGCGGGGGATCCCTTATGAATAGCTCAGTGCTGTCTTTGCGGTAATGAGTGAGTTCTCACTCTAAGTTCCCGTGAGAGCTGGTTGTTATAAAGAGCCTGGCCCCTCCTGCCCTCTCTTTGCCTCCTCCCTTTCCATGAGGTCTCTGCGCACTCAGGCTCCCCTTCCCCTCTACTGTGAGTGGAAGCAGCTAGAAGTCCTCACAGAAGCAGATGTTGGTGCCATGCTTATACAGCCTGCAGAACCATGAGCCAAATTAACCTCTTTTCTTTATTAATCACCGAGCCTCAGGTATTCCTTTATAGCATCACAAAGAGACTCAGAGACTGGAAAAGCCATTTAAGTTATCTGAGCCTCCGTTTGTAAAATGAGGGATATGACTCCATTCGGTTGAGATGAGGATTAGAAATGAAATGAAACACCCATTAGATATGAAAATGAGTCATACCCCCTATTTTCTGTATCTCTGGGTAAGTTACTCTCTGGATTTCAGTTTAATCTGTAATACAAGGATTAGAACAACAGCTACTGCTGTGGGTTGAATTGTGTCCCATGAAAGGATATTTTAAAGGTCTAACTCCAGGTGTCTGTGCTGTGACCTGTTTGGAACCAGGGTCTTTGCAGATGTGGTTAAGTTAGGATGAGGACATTCTGCATTAGGATGAGTTTTGATCTAGGGACTGGTGTCCTTATAATAAGAAAAGGGATATTGAGAGCTCAGAGAAGATATAGGGAAGAGCAAAAGCAGAGGTTGGGGTGATGCATCTGCATGCTAAGGAGCATC